GGGGGGGGGGGTGCACCAGGCCCCCCACCGGCCTGGGGCCTGCCCCTTCCCTAACCTGGCGCCCTGGGCCCCACAGGTGAGGGAGGAGTATCGGAAGTGGGCCGGCTGGGTCACCGGGAACAGGTACTCGGAGTTCACCACCTCCTCATCCAACCAGACTCAGGTAAGGGCTGAGCCTGGGGTAGGGGTGCTGGGCCAGAGGGCACCCAGCCCAGGTTCTGTGCTCACAGTGTACCTTTCTTACCAGGCCCACAGACCTTCGGAGTCTGGCATGTGACAGCGCGGCTCCCACCAGACCAGGAGGTCCTGTGGCCTCAGCAGCTTTTGCACGTGTTGAAAGACGGTCCCCTCCTCTCTCGCCCCTCTGCTCCCTCCGTCAGCCTGCCTCGGCCCACATGTGCACCACAGAAAGCAGGGGGCAGCAGCTGTAGTCTGGCACCAAAGCCCAGGAAGCCCAGAACACCCAGCCCAGTGGAGAGTTGGACCCACCGGGCCTGCTTCTGCTGGCTGCCTCCCTGCCCCACCCCAGCCAGGACCCAGGGTGAGGGCAGGAGTCTGGCCCAGGGCCGCAGTGCCTTTCCCGGCTACCCCAGGCCTGTCAGACTGAGGACGCTGTGCCCAGCCAGGCCCTTTCCCCCTCGTCTGTTTTTGCTACAGAACAAGAGGCCAGGGTGCTGGGGCTCTAGCTCCCCGTTAAGCTACGACTGAGGCCAAGGGTGGGGGAAAAGCAGGGCCCCTCCCAGCCCCACTGCCTGAGGCTCACGGTACAGAAGCCCATCTGCTCCTGGAGGCAGAAGGCTCTCACTTGTTTGGAAAGTTGTTAACGTTGTATGTTGTTGTTTTTAATCTGTATAAACTTTTCAACATCGACACATAAAATTAAACGTCCTACTGATACAGAAAATTGCTGTGGAGCTCCCTGGCCAGGCCTGCTCCATCCAAAAAAGCTGAGAGCCGAGCAACACACAGGGTGGAAGACAGACTTCCGTAATAAAACTTTACTCTTACACAAATCTACAGCTTTTAAACAGTAAAAAGGGAAGCCCCACTGGTGCCTAGAAAGAGGACTTGAAGCAGCACTCAGGAAACAGGGCGACTCTGGCCACCAGGCGTGTGGTTACCGGCTCTGCTCAACTGTAAGACACACAGAGGGGAGGCCAGTGAGACGGGGAAGAGGGTCCCTGTCCGGGCCCAGCCCCCCCAGCCCCGCCCCCAACACTTACTGTATGTAGAGATATCAATTTCTTCAGGAAGTTCTGCTACGTTCACTTCAAACCTGTCCTGAACGTCATTGAGGATTTTGGCATCATTCTCATCAGACACAAAAGTGATGGCCAGACCTTTGGTCCCAAAACGTCCTGCACGGGCCACCTGCAGGGTGACAGGAGCAGGGGGTCAGGGGGGTCAGGTCACAGGGACACAACATGGGGATCTGAGGACAAGCAGGGCCACATCCCCACTCACCCCCACCCTGAGAGAGGGCCGTGAGGGAGGTAACAGCTCCGTGGAGGCACTCACTCGGTGGAGGTAGGTGTCCGAGTCCTCGGGCATGTCATAGTTGAAGACGATGTTGACTCGCTCAATGTCCATCCCTCGACCAAACAGATTGGTGGCCACCAGGATCCGCCGCTGGAAGTCTTTGAACTGCTGATAGCGTGACAGGCTGGGCACAGGAAGAACAAGAGGCGGCCATTAGACATGGGGTTCCCGAGTGGCACTCCCCGTGAGGGGCTGAGGGGCCTGCTGCGGGCCCGAGGGCGGCACCCACTCACCGCTCCTCCTGCGCCATGCCCCTGTGGATAGCGATGGCCGGGAAGTTCTGCTCCACAAGGAGCTGGGCCAGGGCCATGCAGCGCTGCACCGACTTCACGAAGATCACCACCTGCGAGGCAGGGAGGCAAGAAGCGGCGGTCAGGGCCAGAGCCCCCGTGCGCCGGCCTCGCCAAGGCCCGGAACCCCAGGACAGCCACGCGGTGTCACCTGGTTAAACTCCAGCACGTCCAAGAGATCAAACAGCTTGCGGTTCTTCTCGCTGTCCTTGAGCTTGACGTAGTACTGCTGGAGTCCGTGTAGCGTGAGCTTGGTCTCATCGTCTACAAACACCTCCATGGGCTGTGCAGGAAGGGGCAGGCGGGGCTTACTTCTGGGCATCTTGCCTGCCTAGAACCTTCCGGCGAAGGACTCCACGTTGCGATGCTTCCCAGAGGGCCTGCGTACCCCGATAAATGCCTCTCTCCCAATCGTTGATCTAAGCTCGGCTCTGACTCAGGTATAGACCAAGCTCAGCTCCTAGTCTGACAAGACACAGGAGGGAAGGAAGGCTCCGGGGCCTCCCGGCATTCTTGTGCGGTGAGGCAAGTGTGGGCGTCCCGGAGCAGCAGCGGCTCAGGACACGGAACCGAGGAGGGCCAGAGGTGCCGCGCCGAGGCCGTGGCTGGCTGCCGTCCCACCCTACTCACGTCTTGCATGAACTTCCTGCACACGGGCCTGATCTCCTTGCTCAGGGTGGCACTGAACATCATGCACTGCTTCTCGTGGGGCGTCAGGCGGAAGATCTCCTGCACGTCCCGCCGCATGTCTGGGTGGGGAGGGCAAGAAATGGGTGGGCGTGAGCGCCTGCCGCGCGGCGACCCCCACCCGAGACCAGCCCCAGCTCCTCCCAACCTGTGCCAGGGAGTCGTTAGCGCCACGACGAGGGCGGCGTGAGCCGAGTGGAGGGAGGGGCGAGTCCCAGGTGCCTGAGGGGCTGGACTCGGGGCGGGCGCGGGAGGAGCTGCCATCCACTTACACGCCGCCAGAGCGGAGCAGCCGTGCCAGCGCGCCTCGAGCCACGCTTCAGGGAGGGGAGCCTGAGGCAGAGACAGCCGCTGGGGTGAGAGCTGCAGCTGCCTCCCGGGACACAAGCCCCATCTCCCACTGGCCCTGCGGGGCTCACGGAGGGCAGGCAGGGGCCCGGAACTAACCCAACGGGCGGCGAGGCCACAGCATGCCGAGGGCTGGCACGGACACACGCCCGGACTCACTCAGCTCGGGCTCGGAGGCAGGTCACTGTGCCGAGGCTACAACTCTCCCTGGAGTCGTCTACAGAGGCCAGTGTGCCAGCCACCCACGTGACCCTGCCCTGGGGCAACCTTCGGCCTGCCCTGACAGGGCCCACCTGGCTCTGAGGTCTGGGTGGGGGGAGGGGAGCTGTAAGGATGGCGGGGTGGGGGGCGTGGCGGGGTGGGCCTCCAGCAGCTCCTAGACCCAAGCAGGCCACTCACCCAGCTGCTCCAGCATCTTGTCGCACTCGTCCAGCACAAAGTGCTTCACATTCTTCAGGTTGAGGCTCCTGTTCCGTACGAGTGCCAGGATCCGGCCTGGTGTCCCCACGACGACGTGCGGACAGTTCTTCTTCAATACCTCTTCATCCTTCTTGATGGAAAGGCCCCCGAAGAACACAGACACCTATGTAGGAGGAGAGAAAGTTCCCTTCACCTGTCTAAGGGCTGAAGGCTCACACTCGCTCCAAACTGATGGCCACCCGGCCCGTGGCCCCGCCAGCTCAGGCTCCAGCAGCACCCCCGGGCCTAGTGCCTGGTGACCAGAGTGGCCTGAGAGTCTGGCCAGGACTCCGGTGGAAAGCAGCCCCACAGCTGGGACCGGCACAGGCCTCCGGAGGCCATGCATAATTCAACCGGCTTTTAAGGAATTTAAACCACCGCAAACCTCAAAGGCAGCCACCGCGGCCAAGCTTAGTAAACACTGGCCGGGCTACAGCCGGGGCAGCAACACTGCAGAAGACCACGCAGTACGTCCAGCCTGAGGGACTTACCTTGACGCTGGGCATGTACTTGGAGAAGCGTTCATATTCCTTGCTAATCTGGAATGCCAGCTCCCGAGTATGACACATGACCAGCACTGTCACCTGCAGGCGGAAGACAGACACTTTAGGCAGTGTCCCAAGTCCTACCCCAGCCAGAGCCCACTCTAGTGCCCTCCCTGGGGGCCCCATGCCCTCCGGGCTCTGGCCCCTTGAGGGTGCCTGCCACGCTGCTCCCCAAACCTCCGGCTGCTGGAAGGTCCGGTCCAGATGCTCTAGCTTCTCCCCACCCTTCGCCTGTCATTCACTCCCTATGTCCCCCCAGCTAGTGAGTGAGGCTTGTCTCCTGCTGCCAGGATCCACAGTGAGACCTAGCTGGTGAGGCAGCCCCTACCAACAGCTTCCTGAGTCTGCTCTCTGGTCAGCTCCTGACCACCCAAAGGCGGCTCCTGCCTTCAGGCCCATGACGCCAAGGGCTGCAACCACCACAGCCTCCCACTGAATCTCCCTCTCCATCGACCCTAAGGAGACAAGGGCTTGTGCACCCATATGCAGCCCGAGGGCGTGTGTCCCTGTGTGACAAAACAACACCGGAATGCACCTTGATTCTCCTCCAACAAAATTCACTTAAGAGGAAACGTTAGGTACAATCTCACCTGGGTAAATACGCACACACTCTAGAAAAGCACATAACCAAATAACAGCTGTGAAAATCTGGAGAATAAAATCGTGGGCACTTCTCAGTTTCTCCTCTTGGCTTATCATTTTTGGGCAGTATTTTGTCACAACTAAGTACCGTACTTAATTTTAAAAGCCCACAAAGAGGGGCACCTGGATGGCTCAGTCGGTTAAGTATCCGACTTTGGCTCAGGTCATGATCTGTTTGTGGGTTCGAGCCCCGTGTCGGGGTCTGTGCTGACAGCTTGGAGCCTGGAGCCTGCTTTGGATTCTGCATCTCCCTACCTCTCTGCCCCTCCCCTGCTTGCACCCTGCCTGTCTCTCTCCCTCTCTCAAAAATAAACATTAAAAGCTTTTTTTGAAA